AGTTTCCTTTTTAAGAAATTTCTCATCACCAAATCGCTGTACGAATACCATCTTTGAGGTCTTGAATTGACGTTGGCTTGTTGGCGTACACCTCATCTTTCACGTGCCCCTAAAAGAACAAGTCGCAAGATGTTAAAAAACAAGATCTCGGTATCCAATTGCGATCACCTCTTCGAGAGGTAACACGGCCCGGAAGCTTTTATGAGAAAAGATCGATGGTTTCGTTGCTAGTGAGGTACTTGGCAACGTCTTATTGAAAGCAAACGTTACCCAGATCAATACCAACCAATTCCGGCCATAAACATTTCATTAATCACCTCTCGAGAGCGCAATCTATTCATCATAATTGTTGCTACAGCCTCATTTTCGAAAAGGCCTCTTTTTCGAAAAAGGAATTTCCAATGCCCTGCCGGATCGTAACCAGCACATGTTGAGAAAGGAGAGGCTTTTCAACAATAAACCTTTGGTTTTCCGTACCCCAGATGCGAAGTTTTGCATATTGGTGGAGCCATTGAGGTGTAATGTGCCTCATCAGTCAAAACGATTTTTCGTTGAGTTTCTGGATAATTTACATGCATTTCATGGACCCATTCAGCAAAGACACGATGTTGTTGATGATCGACAGGCTTGAGTTGATGTGTTAACTGAACTTTTTAAGCATTAAGACCCAAGCCTCTATGCAAAAAACCGTGTATTGACGTTTGTGGAATGTCCAATACCAAAGACGACGACGAGGAATGAAAAAACCTGGTTTTTCTTCAAACACATAGTAGTAATATTCTCAGTTGATATTGAGCGATGTACAGGTGTTTTATTCTTTACGTCATTACCTCGTCTCAAAGGCTCCATTTTTCCACCAATTTCTGTATTTGCGGTACGACAGGGTGCTTCACGACGACCGAAAATTGTTTTTCACCATTTTTATAGTGAATTTCAATGATTTTCATGCGTTGTTCAGGCGTGTACTAGCTTACATGTCAATATGTCAAAAAATTACAATTGAAATAACATCTGTTATTGGAAAACTCTTTATACATTCGATATTAGCTAAAGAATTAAGCTCTAAGGAATAAAAGATGGAGTTGAACAACTACTTTTAGCTTATAAATTTATTCTATGATGCAGGAAGTTGTCAAAACTTTTAGACAGGCAAAAAGATATCAAAAGTATATTTTTGAAAAAATATTTTGTTAATTACCTGCAATAACTAGTTTAAATGCTTTAATTTCCTAAAATTAAATTATTGACAAGAAGAGAAGAATGCCAATATAACAGCACAATGATTGCATAATTCTTTGAACTCGATAGACGAGTGCTATAGTTTTAATAGCGTGCATACAAATGGCATAAAATTGATAATTTAACTACCTACATATATATGTATATAAACATATATATTTCTACAAATTACTATGTGTATAAACGATATCGAAAACAAAAAAAAAAAAACATGAAAGTGAAACAATTAAATATAATGAATAAACAAAATTTGCTGTATCCATCCCATCATGATTTATTCGCCATAAAATCAATGACATTAGAAACGTACTAGAGTAAGGCCGCTCAGTAGGAATCAAGTTATAAAGAACGAAAATTTCATATTGAAAAAATGCGACGAGATTTATTATTTATATATATATATATATATAAACGGTAATGTGGTTTTGCGTCTTGATGCTTTTCCACCAAATGGAGGGACTTACAGTTTATACTGAACTACCTCCGTACGTCTGATGGGTTTTTTATGAGGAGCCTTTATTTCATGTCCGAAATACACTCGGAAGGGTTGACACTATCTGCCGAGGGGCGACTGCAGTTAGAAAATTTAACTTAGTTTTTGATTTTTATTTTTCTTTAAGAGTGTACAACAACCGCGCCGTAAGGACAAGACGAAATATCTCCTGTCATCCAAAAAACAGTCATTGCGATTTGGCTCCTACGTCACTGTTGAAAGTCATAACTTTGTAGTCGTCGATAACTTCGTCTATTTAGGAACCAGTATTAACACCAAAATAACATCAGCCTTGAAATCCAGCGCAGAATCACTTTGCCAATAGGTGCTACTTTGGAATTTTGACTGAGTAGGCAATTGAAAAGTCAAGTCCTCTCTCGACGAATGAAAACCAAAGACCCTCATTGTACCCGTCCTGCTATATGGTGCGGAAGCATGGACGATGACAACATCCGATGAGTCGGCGCTAGGAGTTTTCGAGAGAAAGCTTTAGCATAATATTTATGGTCCTTTGCGCCTTTGCAATGGCGTATACCGTAGACGATGGAACGATGAGCTATACGAGTTATACGGCGACATTGACATAGTTCAGCGAATCAAGAAGTAGCGGCTACTCTGGCTAGTTCATGTGGTCCGGATAGAAGCCAATACTCCAGCTTTGAAAGTTTTCAATGCAGTACTCGCCGACGGAAGCAGAGGAAGAGGAATATCTCTACTACGTTGGAAAGACGAGGTAGAGAAGTATCTGGCTGTGCTCGGAATTTCCATTCGGCATCAAAGAGCAAAAAGAACAAACGAATGGAGCTATGTTGTTAAATCGGCTAAAATCACGTAAGCGGTGTCTATCCCAGTAAAGTAAGTAAGTAACTCAATTGATATGTATTTGTTGACGCATTCCCACTTATCAGTTTCAGTTCAAGGAGGTGAAGTATGTAAACGATATGCTCTTGTATTGACAGTGAAACAAACTTAAGAAATATCCAAGGCGCTGAAAAATTGAGTGCACAACATACGAATATGACGCGAAGCTTTCTGAGTTCTGACTAGCGACAAGCGCTCTTGTTCCAGGCTAGTCCTTTTTTATTTTTCACGATCTAGCCAGTGTAGCTGTAGGGAGACAATTCGTTGAACTATTGTATATATGTATGTCGATGTCCCCATGTACCTCACATAGCTAAACGTTTAGTATCGAACAGCTCAGTTTATCAGCGATAGAGACGGCATTAATATCGAAGAAAATTTAGCGAAGTGAGTGAGACAGTAACTTTAAATTATTCTATCATCGGCAATGAATAAAGGGCCGAAACAACTACTTTAATGTGTTTAGGATAGAAAATACAAAGGTTCCTTAATCTTGAGCCGCACTATAAAGTGTAGCTGTACAAATTTTTGCTCTTATTGTTGTTGTTGTTGTTGTTGTTATAGTGGCTAGTTGAACCCCTCTTAGGAACAGGCAAGACTGATCTAAGTCATAGAGGTCATTCAACGGGCAGTCCAAGAAACGAGCTGTTTCAACGGGTTCGAACCACTTACATAGGTACATCAGATGTACTTTAATCCAAGGAATGCATTTAGCATCACGTACTAGAACCACAGGACAGCTTGACATACCAAAGAGCTTTAAATGCCTTTCACCGAGAGTCCGTTAATACCTACTTGCACTATATTCCAGTGGACAGCATTTTCGGAGTCCAGTGTGCAGCCATTGTAAACAAAAATCCCGAGCTGCTTCGAGAGACTCGAGGAATACTGGCGGATTTAAGACCTGGATATTGTAGACGATTGAATTCCCACTTATTCAGACATGAACCCGACATACGCAATATATGTCGTTTATGAACCTGCAACTCACGATCCACCACCTTGCATGCCCCTTTAAACCGAATCAAATTCCGGAACTCATCGAAAAGAAGCTTCTATGTATTGTGTCTTGTAACACTATGAACGTGGTACCAAATTCAACTAGTTAAACCGATCCTAGGTCATCGGTGCGCTACCATAGTCGTTTACTACCAACTTTTTAGAAAGATGACATTTCGTAATAAAAAAGCTTCTCTGACAGTTTTCCGATTGGTTGGTTAAGTTTGGTTTGAGCGTGCAAAGGGACAATACGCTATCTTTCGGCTATCGGCGGCTTTTTTGATGTAAAAGATGCTCCACGGAGAGACAGGCCGATTGTCGAAAATGTCGATAACATCATGAACATTGTGGAGTCCGAAAGTAATTTTTTTACTACACAAGATATTTTGCGAAAATTTTCGAGCAGGGAGTACTCGCACTCTCATTTATTGCTCCTTGCTCGAGAAGTTTTGACTTTTCGGACATTCTCGACTATTTTAAACAAAAAAAACTTTTCATATTTTTCTCATAGCTTTTTTTTTATAAAATTTTAAATTTATTTATGAAACGTCTAAAATATACTAATGAATTTTTACAAACAAAATTGTAAATTGAAAAGTTAAAAAAAAAACATTTGAGCTGTTTAGCAACGAACGAGTATCGAAGTTTTCGTACTGCTCGATACCCGGGTATCTAGAGCTCTATAATATGACCTATAATAAAGCTCTTAAAGTAGACTTCACTTGAAAAGTAAGACTCTCAATTTCACGTTAAATTCAAATTGGACACATGAACAATTTTCAATGCAGCACAATTTATCCAGATGAAGGACAGGTACTTTGTTTTTGCTTGTTTCGGGTATAATTTATCGAATGCACATGAAAGAGAAATTGGTATTTTTCTAAAAATTAATTTTCGTTAATATAATATTATATGGTTTCATAGAAAATTAATAACATTCAAGAATTGTATTTTAAATGTCAGATATTTAAAGAAAGAACTAAAGTTCATTCTAAGCATTTGTATGGCGCCAAAGTCACTCTCTTTCAAACTAAAGATCTTTTTACACGAAGAAAAAAAAATCATTTCTATTTTTCGATTGCAAAATGCCCATGGTAGACCATATATGTATTGTATTAGTAGCAATTATTTTTTCCTATCGGGGTCACTGAGGTTATTAACGCAACAAGTGGTTAATGCCACATTAAACGTGCCAAGTACTCGTATATCCGCCTATATGCATATATAGTAGCATTAGTAGCTACAGTCGAGTATATCAAATAATATACATATTTACAAATACAAATAAGCTAAGTAAGCAATAATATATGTATACACAAAAACCATACATATGTATGTTTGTATCTATGTATGTACATTTTCACGCTTAACTAATAAAAAACGCGCCAATCCATCGATTAAAACTCACCTGCTTCAAGGCAGTTTCCTGTGCATCGGTGATATTTGGTATGTTGGACATGTTGTTATATTTAGTGTAATAAATATATGGTGTTATTGTTTATTACTTTAAACTTATATACGTTTCGGCTTGTACATATATTTATTTGCACGTTTGTCGGTACTTTTAGTTGTTGACCTGCAAATGGCGTGTAAAAATTTTAATTGTAAATATGTCCCTTAACTTGTATGTATATATTTAAATATGTATATAAGTATTTGTAAACTTGTAAGCGCGTTGTATGCTCCAAGCACATGCACTTGACTGCTAGAGCGTAAAAAGCTAAATGACCAAACTTGCTCGTATATACAGGTGTACTGGTGTACAAGTGTATATGGTTCTTTTCGTTTAGCCGGTCAACTTGCGTTTTTCTCTACGCTCACGTATATTGATTTACGTCTGACCGAGTCTTTTTTGCGTTTGTTTTGGTTATTTAGCACTTTTTGAAGTATTCTTTGTTTTCATATATTTGTTTATTACATTTAAATTTTACTATGTAGTTAACTTTTGCTTAGCTATGCTGGTCAAGTCTTTTTAGGAAATATTTTTTTTCTGTTTGTTTGGCATTGAGCTTTTGCTATGGATTGCCAAATTCTGATTTCACTTTGTCACATGCAATATAAATTAAATGAGATTTTTTCTTTTTGCGTAGGAAATTTCTGTAGGTACACTCGCGTGAATATCTTCGAAGTGCCCAATTGTGTCGCAAACAAAGCAATTTTCTCTCACTTTCTTGTAATCGTCAACTCTATTATGCGACGACGGAAGCAAAGGGCAATTTTGTGTAATTTAGTTTTTCTGCGCTATTATTGTCACTTGAAAGTCTCGCGATGCATACAATAATAGTTTGTGTATTAATGTACACACACACTTACATACATACTACAAATGTAATATTGAAAAAATCTCACTATAACTGACTCACTTGTTTTAGGTTTTTACTTTTTTCTTTTCACTCTTAATTTTTTATTGATCTTTTTTCTTTTCGCCTCCAAGTAAAATTCCACTGTCTGCGACCAAAATTTTGAAATTTGGTAAATGTTTTGTATTCTCAAGTTTAGCTTGCAACTCAAGAACTCGTTTGTATTGTTTAGCTACGCATAGCTTTCAGAAACTAATGCGGAACTCGCTTATGCATTCGTATATATGAAAAAATCTATGCTAAATGCCGCCGTCGTTTAGCATATTTTATTTTTTGTTTTGTTTTTTTTTTTTTTTGTTGTTTTTAGTATCGACTGAACTTGTCTCTTGATTGTTGGTTGTTGACTACAGCTGAGTTGCGCCATGCAGTGCGCGAGCGCGAGACTTCGTTGGCGACCGGCTGTTATCGGTCGGATGTGGTGGATGACTCCAAGCGTGTAGAGTGCCACAGTAGGAAATGATTTCGCAAGTTATGGTGTAGGCAATTGAATAAGCGAAGTTGGAATGTGTGTTTGTATGAAAACGACAGAGTTGGTAAAAAGCGGAGGCAATAAGAATATAAGTAATTATTTTGAATACGGCAGGCTTTTTTGACGGAGTCTTGAACGGCTGACTAATAGATTGAGGTATACAGATTTGGCTGAAATTCTCAATTGTTTATATTTATGTATATATTTACATGTAAATTTATTATTATTATAATTTATAAGATAAAATCTGCAGCTCTCATCATTAAGAAAGGCAAAACAAGCTTTCAAATGCATGACATTTTCATATCTCTTCCGTGGCTCTTTCTTTTCATTCAAGAAATACGTACTCTCTATTTTTAATGAGCAGGTCAGTCCATATTTCACATTAAACTACAAATCTCCAGCTACTCCGCTTAAAAGACAAGTGCAACCGCGTCGTTTTGCCATTTCGTTTATACTTCCGACCCGCCATTTTGTTAGTTGTTAGATACCAAAACTTAACAAAGAGTGAGTAGTTATAGAAGACATTCAAAAATGTTCCCATTTTCATATTATTATATAAAAGTTTCTGACTATATACTATTAGTGATCAATTTTTATTTCCATGAAAGTTTCCTAGAATCTCCAAAATTTATTAATTTAAAAAAAAAAAATCGAAATTGATTTTAACACAAAAAATATTTGGAATTGCGATCAATTTGAAATCATAATTTAACGCTATTTGGTTGAAAACTTAATTCATAGGAATAGTATAAATAATTGTTATGATATTTGCATACAATAACTTTCCTACAAGGGCTTATGCCATTTGTTTATTGGATACTTTGTAAGCTCGCAGAATATTTTAACGAAAGTGTTGCCATTCCAACACAGAACTTTTATTTACAACTGTTTTTAGGAATTTGAAAAATCTCCAAAAAATTGATTATTTTATTGTAGTATTAATTTTTACAACATCTTGTATATATTTTCGAACATTTTCAAGTGGATCAACATTAAACATTTCGAGATATAATCTTAAGAGCTTGCGCTCTGCACTCTGCGTGTTTCTCGAAACGGTGTATCAAAGCCAGTACTTAAAAGTTCACGAAAACAAATCTAAAAATTTTACATATGATGCTATATATTTTTTCCATCACAACTATTTACAAAAAATATGTGAAGCAAAGTTGATAAAAACTTGAATTTTTTATGAAAGAAGTCATCCCATTTAAACTTTTTTGTTATCTTTTGTTCAAGTTCTAGGTATTAATTAAAGCAATTTCTTCAACTCGGATGATCTTGTCATGACTTCTACTGTCAACGCTGACGGAGATAGGGTCACAATGTCGGTGTTATGAATATTTTTCTTTGAAAACTTCAGTATTTCTTATTCAAATGTTTATCTTTGATTAGTAAAAATTTGGAAGAAAATATTATATATCAAACATACATAAAAAATAGTTGAAAATAAACAATTTTTTATACTCATTCCTGCAGTTCCTTGAATTCCTAAAGAGCGCCCAATTTAGATGGAGTTGGCAACTCTGTTTGTTTGTAACTTCAAAAGTTCTTTGCATATTGCTTTTGTTGTGCGCTCTCTCTTGGTTCACTCTCACTTTTTCAAAAGCTAAATGTTTGTATGTACTTACATAAATTGTATATGCATATATGGATGCAATGTTTACCTGTATTTAGGTCGAGCTTCAGTTTAAATAATTTTACTAACAAACAGATATGTACATATATTGGAAAGTGAAGATGTACAAATAAATGTGTAGATATCTTAACATACGTGTACATATGTATATCTTTGTTAATATGCATTAAATTAACAAACCATTTGTTATGATGCAGATTAAATGGTAGACGAAATTTTATTATTTCATTGATGCGTGCGCTTTGCTTTTATTTTTCTCCAATACAGTTTCAATTTATTGATGAGTTTTAAATTTGAAGCGGCCGTAACGTTGAACGGCCTTAAACTGTTCATTTTATACAAAAGAATATAAATATGTTCTTACTGTAAAATAAATATGTATTTTTCAATCTTTATTCTGTCGTCTCTTTGTTTCTTTGTATTTATTTATTTATCAAGTGTTGAGAATCATTGGTGTTCAACCAGTAGAGTGTTTCATTTTACGACTTGGTTTAATCTCAATTCCATAAAGCCTATTTGATAAGTGTAAATACATATATATTTACACATAAAGGGTGATTTTTTTTAGCTGTTATCTTTTTGGCAACACTGGTTTAAACAGCTGACACACGTTTCGAGTCTTGTATCACTGTCAAACATCCTTTGTTCGGTCTATAATTTAGCCATGAATCGTCTTACAAACGAACAACGCTTGCAAAATATTGTATTTTATTATAAAAATGCGTGCTCTTTTAAGAAAGTTCATCTCGCGCCTTTTTACCGAAACATTATGCTCAGCGACGAAGCTCATTTTTGGCTTAATGGGTGCGTAAATAAGCAGAATTGTCGATTTTGGAGTAAAAAGCGGCCAGAAGCATTGCATGAGCTACCAATGTATCCATAAGAAGTCACAGTTTGGTGCGGTTTATGGGCTGGTACTTCCTCAAAGATGATGCGAATCGTAACATAACACTGAATGATCGGCGCTACCGTGAGATGAGCTTGACTTGCACGACATGTGGTTTCAACAAGACGGTGACACATGCCACACAGCACGCGTAACAATGAATTTATTGAGAGGCGAGTTCAGTGAACATTTTATTTCACGTTAGGGACCGGTTAATTGGCCGCCTAGATCGTGCAATTTGAAGCCTTCAGACTATTTTTTGTGGGACTATGTTAAATCCAATGTCTAAACAGACAAGCCCACTTCAATTGATGCATTCGAATGCAGCATTGAAGCATTTATTCGTGAGTTACCGGCCGAAATATTGGAAAGAGTATGCAAAAATTGGATGGACCGTTTGAGGTAAAGTCACGGTCAATATTTGCATGAAATAATCTTCAAAAATTAAATTGTATGCACCGTACTATCGATTCAAATAAATATTTAAGGCATTTTTCTGAATTTTATGTGTTTTTTTTTGAAAAACCTTCCCATAGTTTTAAAAAATCACCCTTTTACAAATCTGCATATTTATGGGTACACATGGACTTGCTAGACAATAATGTGTTGTAGTATTATTAATAATGTATCAAGCAAACAATGTAATTAATATAGATTATGACTTAAAGCAATAATAAGATATTGCTCATCCACTTCGAGGTGGCTCAGTAGGAAAAATCTTGATTTGATTAATACTGAATTAAATATCTCTTTTTATCATACATACTGTTGTTGTTGTTGTAAACGCAAAATTATTCCCCAAAGTACTTTTTGGGGAATATTGCGGGAGTGACAGTCCTTGGCCGGATAAAAATCCGGGTCGTTCCGGCATAAAGACCCGGCTGTCGCGGGAACTATTGGATTTTAGTCGCCTCTTACGACAGGCATGCCTTGCCGCGGGTAAATTCTTGAGCCCCTAACCCGCAGGGGTTATATCCAATATTAGCCAATGAAGAACATATACCGTTGGCCTAAGATAAACGCTTTGCATTGCCATTTTCTACTGCAATCATAATCAGTTGATAAGCGCCATTGTTAAATAGAGTATCAGTGCTGCGGTGTATTCGACCGCCAATGAAGAACATATCATACATACTTGTATATATCAGTGCTTGCAATCAGATGGGTTGGTTTCTTTAAATGGCCTCGACAGGTCACCCAGTAAGAACTTTCAGCAATTTGTATGAATATAACTTGTTAACCAGTTGATTTCCATTTTTAAGTGCAGGTAAATATTTTTTTTTCTCTTATCGTCAAGTTTCTTCTTGCATATGAACCCAGTCCATGTGAATCGTCAGTTGTTGGGTATTTACAATCCAAAGCTGATAAAAAACCGATTAGACTTTATCACATTATTAGTGGGAGTAAAATTTATTACAAATATTTATATATTTGTATATTTATAACTGTATATTTCTATAAAAGAGCGTAAAATCAGTGATTTGCAAACATTTTTATTGATTGACAAAGAGACTGACCATAAAAATATTTTATCGCTGATTTGCCAATATTGGATCAATCCTAAAATTTTCCAATTTGTAATATTTTCAGTGTCAATGATTATTTGTACATATGTATATGCATATAATATAAAATCTCACGTTTATAGCTGTTTTTTGACGGATTTATGATAGAAATTCTGAACAATACGGTTGTATGGCGGCTATATGCAATAGTCCTACAATAATAATAAAGTACCTGAGTACATGTTATGAGGTGATTTTTAAGGGCAGCAATGGTTTGGCAGTTGTGTGGTTAGGTTGATTGAAAGCATTGAAAAGCAGACTCCACAGCTCCATGTGTCATCGAGCATTATGTCTAATTCAGAATGTTTGTATTTTCCAATTTTTTCATCTTTGGCATCATTGCGGAATGGTGAAGTCAACGGCAAAAAAGCTTTAATGTAGATAAAATTAAATAATATTAAGATATCCAAGAAACGCACAGCTCTCAAACACAAGCTTTTTTTTACTAGAAGAGAGCTTTTAGGTACGAATTCCGTTGACTGTTGACTGTTACCGTTAGTAGCCACAAATCTGCGGCGGATATGGCAGTGTTGAGTAAAAAAGATGAATATTCTGGTTGCAAACCGTGCTTATCCGAGGCTCACACCTAGCCGAGTAAAATTAATTAAAATTAATTTGAATATAAGTATTTTTAAATTAATATGCAACTTTTTTTTTTTGGCAAGCACAAGCGTACTAACATACATATGTATATTTAAGTATGTTATTGTTATTGTAATATTGTCCAAAATTTTTTTTTTTAATAAAAC